GTGCCAGTGAGTGCTTGCTGTGTGCCAGTGAGTGCGTGCTGTGTGCCAGTGAGTGCGTGCTGTGTGCCAGTGAGTGCGTGCTGTGTGCCAGTGAGTGCGTGCTGTGTGCTGAGGGGAGGCTGGGATATGTCACCTCTATTTTGCCTGGGAATGCTGGCTCCAAAAAAAGTGTCTTATCAACTTGTATGTTGATGGATTTCACAGGAACAACTGAGAATTAAATAATTAGAAAAAACGGTTAATTCTTTGGTTTACTTTTAATTCACCCTTTGTTTTATTTTTTTGTTATTTAGTGTGTTGTTACTTGCATTCTCACTTCCTCTTGCATCTTTTTTCTGCTGTTCGGTGCCTTAGGTATATAGAACGAATAACTTTTTGTTACATGCTGTAGTTTGTCTAAACTACTGGCTACATAATCATGGTACCTTATGCAGGTCTTACTGTTAAACAGTTTTAATTTGTCTGCATTACTGTGGAAGAAAATTTACAGAGAAATTGCTAAGTCATTAAGCTTAATCTTACAGGTATATGTATATTTCCTGTGGTAAGCAAATATAATGTAAATCCTTGAGCTTGTTATAACCATTTCCAAACAAATACGTCTTTATAACGTAGGTTTCAAATTAGGTTGCAAATATATTCAACTCATTTAATTCCATTTGCCTGGGACACATGGGAATTACTGCATTTCAGACTATTATTCTGTAAGTAGGAAATAATGAGTTATGCATTAGTGTTTTTATTGTTAGCTTATTTATTCAGAGTTTTTATTTTGGAAATAGTGTTTATCAGTCAGAATTATAGAGATAGGAACAAGTACTGAATTCTCTATTAATTATAAATTATGTATTAATTATGAATGGTCAACAAAATACTGCAACTGTGAGTTCGTATGCTGAAAGCATATAATCAGTTATTTTTGTGGGAATGGACAATTTAACTGTCAGTTAAATAGGTGTGTAACATTAAGACTCGTATTTAAATTGTGGCTTTCTTAATAGAATATGCTCTGTCTTAAGGAAAAGAGGCTTGTTGAGCCTCCAGGCAATGGGATTGTCTGCTCTTGATGCTCTTGTCTTGTAATTATACTTCTGGTTTTACTGCTAGATAAATTATTAGTTATGTATTTTGAACCTGACAATGTTGTAGTGGTCATACTTCAGGAAGGTGTTTAATTTTACTATATTAGTATACCTTTGAAAATTGATTGATATATATAATATAATAATGATTTAATATACAGAAAAAACTGCTAGGTGATTACGTGGACAAGCATTAGGTCCTGTGGTATACTAGGATTTTCTGGAATTATTTGATTAGTAGTCCAGAAGGGTGGGATTCCTGCAGGCCCCGGCTGCTTAGAACACACTGGTGTAGTCACGCAGCTTATCAGAGAAGCTCATGAGAACAAAGGTGACCTTGCTGTGTTGTGGTTGGACCTGGCCAACGCCTACGGGTCCAAACCACACAAGCTGGTCGAGCTCGCACTACACCACCACCATGTTCCAGTAAGGTGAAGGACTTGATCCTGGATTATTATAATAATTTCAGATTGAGGTTCACTTCTCATTCAGAAACATCAGACTGGCACCGTCTTGGCAAAGGAATAATAACAGGGTGTATCATCTCTGCTATTCTTTCTGCCCTTGCCATGAACATGGTGGTCAAGTCAGCCGAGGTAGAATGCAGTGGGCCCCTGACCATGTCCAGTGTAAGACAGTCCCCAATAAGAGCCTACATGGATGATCTCACCATCAGTACAACATCGGTCCCAGGGAGCAGGTGGATCCTACAAGGTCTTCAGTAGAGGTGGGCGATAAATCGATTTTATCGATTAATTCGAATTTACAGTTCAGGACGATGTGTTTTTATGAAAATCAATTTTATTACTTCACACGCGAGCGGCAAAAGCGGAACTAATGCAACGCACCGTTCTTCACGCTTACATTAGCGCGGGGCACCCAAACACTGTAGCGGATTGACAAACAACATTGCAATGGTTCGATTTTGCACCGTTGGACACAGACCAAACAAGTCCACGTTGCAAAGTCTGTTTAAAAACTGTTTTGGTTGTTTAGTTCATTTATTAAGTTATCACATCCTGTCCAGGGTGTACCCCTGCCTTGTGCCCCTTGCGGCCTGGGACTGACTCCAGTCCTCCACAAGCCTCAATAGATAAATGCTTTGGAGGAGAAAGGGACAGACGGATGGAATATCAGTCCAATAATTAGTGTCTGACTCCATTTTGCAAGAGCATTTTACCATAAGAAATAGATTCGTTGTTCGTGTATCCTCTTTAATTGTAAGTCTAAAGCAAGATCTGGAATTTTAGCACATGGTACAGTCTGGTTTGGATTAGGAAAAAGCAATAAGTGCCGTTTCAGTTTTTGGACTCCGACTGAATGAATGAAAACAATGAATAAGGTTGATGAATAGGGTTCATTTAATGAAACGGTAATGAAAGAGGCATCTTATATTCAAATGCTATTATGATAGGATATGTATGAAGTGCAAGAAAATACTGTTAACAGACCAATCTCTGGTCATGCAGGTGATACACATTGACCGCATCTAAGATTAAATCTAAACTAACTGCAGTTCTTTAGAATATGTTTATTTTAGAAATAATAGTGACTGATTTTAATTGAATCTGCAATTTAAATCTGCTTGCGGGGTAAAGGCACAAGGCAGCAGGGTCAAACCAGCTAATGAGCTTTATTACTCAATAATTAAAATACCAAATGGAAATGATGATCCTTGAAGAAAGGCAAACTCAAAATAGCCCAAAATTAATTCTTTATAGAGAACATTAGGCAGCATATAGTACCTTTCAGGGCTTTTACCTAGCACATGAACACCCATGGTTCAAAATTCGGTCATTGACACTGTTTAAATCTCAGCAAGGTGTTTAGTTTGGGGATGAAAGGTAATCCAGACCCTGCCCCCTGCTGCTGATCTGCCTCCCATTGGTTCATGGTGTACCTGCATTGTTTCCCAGAAGCAATGACTGTGTCCTGTTTGTTGACTGTGTTTTGTCCCCCTTAACATCACGTTTTGAAAAAATGCTTTCAAAACTTCATTTTCAATCTAAATTATAGGTGACTTTAAAATAAAAAAAACAGATGGGCAATTTCTCGCTTTATAAAATTGAAATCATATTTGAAATCACATGTAAAACAATGATTTTAACACATGCAATATTTCATGTTCCAGTGTGCAGGCTGATGACCGAATTCGTATCGAAAGGCGAGATTGCTCCCAGTTTGAGTTCTCCAGTGCCCTGCAGATTATTACAGATTTTTATTCAAACTCGTCCTGTCAAGAATCAGAGATAAGTGAAGGTGGGTCACAGACTTTAATCATTATTTTTTTGTTTTGGTGATTTTCGTATGAAATTATGACATTGTATGTTTCACTTGGGAGAGGGGTCAGCTAGTGTTTACAGTTTATTTAAAATGTTTTGGGTGGGTGGATAATTAGTGACTAGTAATTAATTTCATTGTCTTCATAACTGGAGTTTGTGTTGATTAAATTGCACAAATGAATGTGAAAATTAATTTAATACCCCATGATAGTGTTTGAATATAGAAATGACTGTTACCAACATTATATTTCTACATATACTTCTATACTTACCTCCCTTGTTTATTTTTGTATGAGTGGCTAAACCTCACCTTCAACATGGTGAGGTAATGCTGCTGCTTATGCTTTTAAGGATTTCTGTGCATCTGTTTATAAGTGCTGAGAAAGAAAGGAAGTGATTCCTTTAGAGCCGATTAGATAGTTAATCAGGCAGCATCGAGCTGATCCTGTCCCATATTCAGACAGTGAGGTCTAGGGAAATGTGTCAGAATTCAGCTACCTACAGTAAGAGTATCTGCTTTTCCGTTTCCATGAACCATGCCTTGCATGTTTTCCTGGGGCTCCTTAATAACAATTAATTTAGTTGTGTTTCCAAGTAATGAAGAAGGATTCTAGAAAGTAGCATGATTAATATTTTATTTGTAACTGGCGCTTTCAATACATATTTGGTCATACTGTGGAGTACTACCAAGGAATTTGGTAGGGGACTGTACAGTATGTTCGTGTTGTAGTATAGAAATGATGTTTTTAGTATGTTGATAAGCAAACGAAGATTGACAATATTGAAAATATTGATCAGAGAAATTGTAACTCTTTTCAGTTTTCTAAACAAATCTGACCTAAAACGATTCATCGCTAGAGTATAGAGTGTTGAACGATAGATGCTAGTTCTGTACTTGAGGATTGTAATTTGTGTGTGTGTATGTGTGTGCATGTGTATATATACAGTGGTACCTCAGTTCTCGAACTCATTAGAACTCAAATTTCTTAAAAGTCGAACCAACCAGTTCGGAAAAAAAATTACCTAGAGCTCAATCTGAATCTCAGAAGTCAAACCGTGAACAGCGACCTAAGATAACTTGTACGCGCGGGGAAATGAGTCAGCTGACTCTCAGCGTAAACAAAGGGTAACGCTTCAGTCTCAGCCTCGCATTGGCTGTGATATCATCGTGCATGTTTACACTAACTGAATACATATATTTAGACAGTAAAAATACATTTAGACAATGATAGACAGTAACAGTAATTATTATTATATAATAAAATACATTTAAAAATAAAAATTTCTTATTCATTATTTTAATATTAATAATAATATTAATACGTTTAATTATAATAATATTGTGCCAAGCTGGGACGGAACGGAGACAAAGGCGCAGACGTCAGGGTATTGGGGAATACGGGGTTTAATTACAGGTAAGGCAGGCAAAACTTAGACGGACAATACAATGACCGGACTGGGGAAACGAACTGAAACGCGGACTGAATACAGAGGACTAATGAAAACAACTAGAAACAGCTGATCACACGGGGATTCCACACGGGGTTAACGAGGGGGCGTGGCACACAGAAGGAGCGGACGATCGGGGCAGGACACATTGTTTTTTTAACTTTACACATTGTTTGGATACATTTATTTTCTTACTTTACAAATGACTGTTTTGATAAATGTGCTTAGATGTGTTTAATACGGTATATGCTCTTCTTGTTTTATCCGGTTCATTTTGCTAATGCTAAAAAAAAAAAACATATTTAGGTGTAATTTTTTGGGGCCGGGAACCAATTAATTGGTTTTCCATTATTTCTCATGGTTCTGAGGTACCACTGTGTGTGTGTGTGTGTGTGTGTGTGTGTGTGTGTGTATATATAGAGAGGGAGGGAGGGAGGATATTAAAGGAAGTTACCATGATGTCATTTTTACGTAAATGGGTTTTTTGGACACTTCTAGTTACATGGCAATATATCATATTATTTTCTTTTATATCAGACTCTTTTGTCATATTCCAGCCATTTTCTGCTTTGGGTTCATGGGAAGTATAGCTTTTTGTGTTCTTTTTTCCTTGAGATTTTTATCAGCCGTCCTTGTCTGATGTGGTGTGATGACATTGTTCTGGGCTTTTGTGTGGCATGACATGGTGTGTGTGACGCAGCCGGAGCGTTTACATGGGGACGCAGAGGGAGCTCTGCAGGAAGCAGATGCCAGGTTCTCTGAAGGCCCGCAATGACGCCACACCTTTTTTCTCTTTTCCTAGCACATTAACCCTTTTGTGTTCTGTTACATATCCCAATTTTTCCCTCTTTATTTCTTTCCTGTGATTCCGAAATGTAGGATTTTTTCTGAATCGTTATTATTTACTGTATATACAGGTGGGTATAGAAAATGGATGGATGGATGGATGGATGGATAGATGGAGGGACATTTCCTCATGTGGTGACATGTGCCTGTACTCTCATGTAATGTATTTAACCATTTCTTTACCTGCCTGTTTCTGTACCTTATGCAGAATCCCAGTCTCTTTCCAGTGTGATTAGCATGGAAACTCCCGTGATCTGTTGCCTTGGCCCAGTGATCCAGTACCTGACTGAGTTTAACCTGGAAAGAGTACTGCTCTCTGCCAGGTACTGTACATTACTGATTCTGCAGCATCATATAAATTACTCAGCATGGGCTCACTTTCACAAAGACATTAAAGGGATGATTTGCGACACTTAACTGGATGATTTGGTTTCCAGTGAATGGGACAGTGGTGTTCTGTCCACTAGCTGCAGATAGCATCAAGATTTGGATGCCAAAGTCAAAGCACCAGTGAATGTTGCTGAGTGCTGGTATATTGCTAGGGACCCAGAACAGTGTGTGCTGGATGCAGGGGGAACCAGCCGTCTATTCACTGCCTAGGCATGCATGCACATACACATGCCTTAACAGGGTGAAATCTATATGGCCTTTCGGCTAGAGAAGTACTGTTACCTCGCAGGTCAGTGCATACTGCACAGGGGGCGGCTAGTCTCCTTTCACGGAAAAGTCTGAACTCCTAACCGTGTTGCTTCTCCTGACAACCTTGGTCGTCATAAGAAAGATGTGGTCCCTGAACATGTGCTTTGAATTACTGTACTATATTTCCAGTAGAGCACTAGGAGCTGTTTTATGACTAGTATTTAAAAAAAGAAATCAGTTTGCACCAAGCAGACTGCCGAAAAAATGTATTTTTATTGTTCTGTTTCCTTCTGGGTTCCACTGTGACTTTTCTGACATGTAGCACCGTACAGGCGGAACAAGCTGGCTGTTTGGAAATGCATTATTAAAAAGGCATTTCATGGGGGGCAAAGGCCTGCAGAGGCAGGCACTGGCATTGAGCTGATAACATTCTGCTGCATTAGGCTTCCTGGCTGTGTTAGGAGCTCAATTTCTCCGTAGATTATCTGTGAAAAGCCACAATTTAAAGTTTATCGCTCTCTGTTCATCAATGGATGGATTGACCTTGCAGTCAGCATGGTTCCTGTTTTCCCCTTTGAATCTGGAGAAAGGTTATGGGATCGTCACTGGAGGGGTGTTACGGTGATTTAAAACCGAAATGCCTTATTGTAAGAACTGGCTGAATTGTCTGTGACAGACAATTTTTGATTGATATTTTTTTTAACGTTAATCCTTAATACCAACACTTTTTATTATGTCTTATTATGTATGAGAATACAAAGAGATTAAAGCTTGGAGGACCCCCATACTGGTGTTAAGATGATATAATAGGAGACACTTTTTGTATCTGTGTGTGTGGATTTGACTGTGCTTTTCGCTGATGCTTATGCACCCCACCCTCTATGCCATATTGTAGCTCTTTCCGGAGGCTTTCATGTGCAGATGACTGCATGATGCTTAGTGCCACCACCATGAGGAACCTGGAGGTTCTGTGCAACCAGGTAACACAGGGCTTTCAGACCACTAAGTGGCCAGACTCTCCACTCATGAGGAATATGAGTCATGTGAAATATGCACCCCCCACTTCCCGGGGACTGATTGCACTACTTTATGACCAGTGGGAAAAATGTCTCATTCATCGTGCCATTTTTGAGAATCAATTAAATCAGTTTTTTTTTGTGAATTTGTCTGTCAGTTTGTATAGGCAGTTTCACTGGGTTTGCACTGTTGTATATTTGTTTCTTCATGCATTGATGATCAGCGTCCATGTTCTTTTTCTTGACTGAACAGACTGACGGTAGGATCAGGGGGAGCCTGTTGTGGGTGCTGGATCACACCCAGACACCATTCGGGAAGAGACTGCTGAAGAAATGGGTGACCCAGCCTCTGAAGTCCGCTGCGTAAGTCTGAGTGACTGATGGCTCTTACCGCAACATCCTCTGTGTAAGCAAATCCCAGGTAGAGCATATCTAAAAAACAAACCCGGAACGGATCAGCCATTTCTTTGCTGAAACTGAATTTGGCAGGCTGTTGCTGAATCTGCGGGCTGAGCTGGATGGGGTCCCACTATAGTAACTGGAGTAAGATTTATTTAGTCATCAGGACGGCTGATAACATTTTTTAGCCTCATTAGATATGTGCTACAGTCAGATTTGTCTTCTAACCTCGACACATCATCTTCCCTCTTTGGGAGGCCCCTGCTTTTCATGTTGTCACTGTGTGTGTATAAAGAAAATTTGTCAGGCTTTCTAGGACCTTAGTTGAGCAGTTGATACGGCATTAACTTGGCATTGTCCGGGTAAAGATTTCTGATCAATTTTGGAAATAGCGCAAAGAGCTCCTTTTTTTTAATGCAGATTAGGGACTATTTCAGTGCAGAATTTGTGTTTACGCTACAGGTTTACCTTCACAGAAACTTCATAGAATCTGCATAATTACAGAAAGATTAATTTACAGAAATAATTTTTTGGATCCTGTCAAAATATAGCGCATAACCAGTCGCACCTGATACATTGGTAAGCATGTTTTATCTGGTGGAAAGTCTTATTGTAACAAAGTGTTTATTGTTAACTTTCTTTGCTCAGAGAAATCCGGGAACGTCAGGAGGCTGTGGCTGAGATCCTGTCTTCCGATTCCAGCGTCCTCCTCAATGTCCAAGCCCTCCTGAAGCGACTGCCTGACCTAGAGAGGGGCATCTGCAGCATTTACCACAAGAAGGTATTTCAGTCAGTCAAAGGAACGCTTGGAGGAACCTTTACCATTAGTCCATTCTAAGCTACAACAGAGCTTAGAATATATGCTGTGTAGTTACATGCCTGCTTTCATGTTGCAGATAAACCTTGCAAGACCACCTGCAGGAGTATCGAAATGGGCTTGTGCAATAAATGTCTCTACCTTAAGTTTGAGTTTTTGCGAGAATCGCAGTATAGCACTATATTTATGTTTACTTTTATTTAACAGACATTTTTGTCCAAAACAACACACAAGTGAGGCAAATAACACATTGCAAAGATCGTGCTGTTAAGGAGTCGACTATGCATAAAAGCGGCTAGGCTGAGCTTCCAATGAATGCCAAGTTACAAGTGCACTACAGTACTTAACACTACAGTGGTACGTTGGAACACAAACTTAATTCGTTCCAGAAGGCTGGTCGAGTTGTGATTTGATCAAGTTCCAAGTTGAATTTCCCCATAATATTAAATGAATAGATTAAATGAATTTAATCTATTGGGCGGCTCGGTGGTGCAGTGGTTAGTACTGTCGTCTTACACCTCTAGAACCTGGGTTCGAGTCTCCATCTCTCCACCAGGGTTCCATTTGTGTGGAGTTTTTGAAGGCCAGTTGAGTAGGAGAGAGGGTAAGATTGGGGGAACGCCTTAATAATTTAAATCCTTATTAATTATTAGGGGAGATGAATGAAGCCGAATTAAATATTGTGGGGTACACGTCCCCCAGGCTGAATCAGTACTATAACAAAACAAACCGATGTGAAACAGACCAATTTTCAGACATTGTAGTGCTGTCTATATAGGAGGCTCCATAGGATGTCAACTTAGTGAGTAGATCTTGAATTTTATATATGATCGGACTTCTAAAAATATTGCACCAGTGTTATCTGGTAAGCCCATTAGACAGGTTGGCTACGCAGTTGAAAAAATGTAATGTATGGCATGGCTGATGAGGAAGAATTGGTTCTGAAAAATTCTACCTCAGTGGTGTGGCAATGTTTTGTACTTGCAAAATCCGGCCTGGACCAATCTACTGTAATATGGAAACTTTGTAATGATACCATTGATCCAACTGATAGCAACACAACCATATTTTTTGTTTGTATTTGTCTGCACAGTTATTGACTGAAGTGATAAATATTCATTTGTACTTGAAACTTTTGAATTTTTTGTAGAAATAATCGTGTGGGGGGTGGTTCCCAATCGTTAGATTTCTGACCGCTGATGTCCCCCCAAATAAGCCATTGTGTCCTTCCCCAAATGCACACACACCAAGAACATCATCTTCTATTTTAATTACATCTTTTAAATAAAGACACCCTTCCTAAAACAAATAAACCCATCTATCCCAGACAAATCATCTACTTACCCAATACTTCCCCCCCCAATCGGCAAATGTTATTGTGAGGAAATACCCACCCTTCCCCGCAGCTCAACAAATTTCATTGCCAAGTTTTCAGTATACCAGAATAGCACTTCTTATGAAAATACTGTCAAAATTCCATTTATCGCAGTATAATGTTTGGACAGTGTGATGCTAGGAAAATTAGATATCACCAAAGCCTAATCTCAATTTAGTTGACTAGCGCAATCCTTGCTGTAACAGTTGCATGTGCATAACATGCAGTTTTGATATTAGCATTGCGCATTGCGCAGGCCTAACTGCTACCAATAAGTTTCACTGGATTGTGACAAAAAAATCTTGGCTATCCATATAATGTTTTTTTCTGAAGTGGTAATAAGATCAAATCGAAGGCTATAAGACTATCAAATACTCTTTGAGTTACCATGTTCATAAGATCAAATGTTTTCTGAAGTACAGTAGTACTTCCCTTTGCTGCCACTGAACAGTGTTGCTTCAGGCCTCATGCAGTTTATCTCAAAATTTGATTGGTTCCAGATCTTCACCCATACATGTTGTCTGCTAAGTTTGAAAAAGACCTGCCAAATACCTTTGTAGTTATCATGCTGACAAAGTGAAGTGTCAGAGGATGCCCTTTTCTTTGCTATCAATATGCAGCTCTGCCTCAAAATCCGAGGAATTTCAGGGCTGATCACAGATGCAGATCTCGCGAGTCACACAAAGTTGGGCTGTTAATAAAGTTTTTTCTAGAAAGGTGGGAAGAGTGTTTAGGGGGGCAAAATGTGGTAGAGGTAGGGGCTGTTGAAGGAATTGGTATTCGATGGGAGAGCGGGGGTCACAAGGCTGTCTAGGGAATACATTGTTGCCATTCCAGCAGCATCTAGTTATCGTATGCATTTAGCTTTTTAAAAAATCTATGCTGTGTTTCTTTACCTCATTACCAATTTACATTTAGGATTCAGCCATATGAAAAAGGAAAGAGCGGTGTGGATTATGGTGATAATGGAAAATGTATGGTCATGGTTTATTTATTTTAATACTTAGATAATCAAAATAAGCTTTCTTTGCTATTTTCTGTATGCTTCAGTGTACCATTGCTCTAAAGAGCATCACCAACATTGAAAATGAAATGGAACTCTCCTTCACTAAGGTATATACCCAGTAATATATCCAGAATTAATCAGTAGCACAACCGGCTAAACATGGTACTTTTACTTTACCTGCATTGACCAGTAGCCATCTTTCTGGTCATGTGGCAGTAGCTTGTCATGTCAGCATTCATAACATGTAGTCGTATTTGATTGCGGAATTTGCTAAATTTCTCTGAAAATAATAAAGAAATAAACACAATAAAAAATGACCTTGGTTCGCATTCATTTTTAAACAGTAGTCTTGCTGGATTAGTCAGCACAAGAGAAGAAAATGTTCCCTGTAGTCATTGATTAATATCTGTAGTTTGTTGCTGCATCGGCACTTATTAAGAAGCAACCGGGGACTTTTTTGGAATCATCAGCAAAAATGTCCTTTATATTCCATTAATTAAAAGTTAACGAAGTTTGAATTGTATATAGATGTGAATGTTGATCTGTGAAAGACTATTTTTTGAAAAGAAATCCACCTTAATGGTTTTACAAGGCCTTTAACCTTGCATAACATAGTTATCAATACAGTGATGATTACAAAAACAATGAACTGCATACTGTAGTTGATCCTACAGTGCAGTGTGAAATAAATATGTAGTGCATCTTCAGGTTAGTTTAATGAAGATAAGAATTTATTTGCTTTACAGGAGACAAGAGTTCAACATTCTAAATGGTAGTTTTAACTACTAATAAGTCATTTTCTGTATGTTTGTGGACAATTCATTATATCAAACCATGAAATATTTTTTATATACGCAAACATTTCTTTCAAGAGAAAGACACCGTTCAAGGCATTATTAATGAATACTTATACCAAGTTTATGCTGCAAAGTTTCTATGACATCCAGTATTCTGTGCTCACACTATAAATATGTACATTAAACAGTGAGTTATACTTTTCTACACTGTTTGTCATGTTGAGTCATTCACATTCATACTGTATTTATGCCATGTCCTGTTCATTTGGTCTTATTGTTGCCTCTTTTTCTTACAGTGTTCCACTCAGGAGTTCTACCTCATTACGAGCACTCTGTCACGATTGGCGGCGGAGTTCCGGGCTCTTGTTCCAGCTGTCCAATCACAGTTGAGCAGTACTCTCCTGAAGGACCTCCTCCTGCCTGTACCCCAGATGCTTGCTCCTGCTCAGCAGTTTTTGAATGTTCTCAACGAGAAAGCAGCTAAGTAAGCCAAATTCAGAATTACAAGAGAAGGGACATATTTGTTTTTTGTGTAAGCGTAAGGCTGCAGGAACATATTCAATGGTCAGTGGGTTAAATTGTTTAAATTTAAATTTGCTATAGTCGGACTGAGGGCTTGATTACTTTATCTAGCACTTAAGTCAATCAAGCTCTTAAACAGTTACGTGCATTTGAGTTAAGCATGTTCTCCCCTCCTCATCATGGACACGCCCATCTCACTTGACCTGAAGAAGAAGGCGTGACCATGCAAGAAGTGCAATTAATTAATCAAGCAGGAAAAGGGGGTGATGTCCATGATGATTTTGGCAACAAGCAAAATATGGAACATGGATTATTTCACTTACATTGTGAAACTAATTGATATTCTCAGAAACCCTTTCATTTTGAAAATGAAAGCATGGCAGTATCCTCCTACAGTTATATTTGGTTAGTCTCAGGAACACAAGAATTCTTCGATAAAAAATGAAATTTTGCTATGAAATACAGTGTTTGAATTTTGTGCAGAGCAATGACATGATCTTAACTTATTAAGTACAATGTTCGTACAAAAGTATTGGAACACCCCTCTTAATCATTGAATTTAGGTATTTCATTCAGACCCATTGCCACAGGTGTATAAAATGTAGCACCTTGGCATGCAGTCAGGTTTACAAACATTTGTGAAAGAATGAGTCATTCTGAAGAGCTCAGTGAATTCAAGCGTGGTGCTGTCATAGGATGCCACCTTTGCAGTAAGTCACTTTGTGAAATTTCTTCCCTTCTAAATATTTTGCAGTCAGCTGTAAATGGTATTGCAAAATGGTAACTGTTTAGGAACAACAGAAACTCACTTCATTTAATGGGCTTCCATGGCCAAGCAGCTGCATGCAAGCATCACATCACCAAGCGCAATGCCAAGCGTTGGATAGAGTGTTGTAAAGCATACCGCCACTGGACTCTGCCACTGGATCAGTGGAAACATGTTCTGAGGAGTGACGTATCACTCATATCTGTCTGCCAGTCTTTTGAACGAGTCTGAGTTTGGCAGGTGCTAGGAGAATGTTACCCGATCGACTGCGTTGTGGCAACTGTAAAGATTGGTGTAGGAGGGATAATGGTGCGAGGATGTTTTTCAGTTCAATTCAGTTTTATTTGACACATTAAATTGTTTCAAAGCGCTTTACATTATCCCTGCCCAAAGCCCCCAGAGACCAACTGCCTAGAAGGAAAAAGCCTTGGGAGGAACCAGACTCAAAGGGGGAGCCCATCCTCCAGGGGGTGGCAGAGGAAATCAAAGTCAAATGGGCAAGAGAGTCCCAGTTCACACTGTCCAAATCTTAAGATTTGAGTTTCAAAGCAGGGGAGCAAACAAGTGATGGCAGTTGCTAGTGCTGCTTCTGATAGCAGGACGAACAGTGGTACAGCAGCAGTGCATTCAGGAGAGACGTCACGGGCAGAAAGGTGAGCAGGCTGGAAAGATGCCACAGGTAGTGGAGGCATTGCAGACAGCAGGGTAGGGAGGATATCGTGAGATTTACGGACCGCTACCGCGATTTGTTTGTAAATTTATTGCCGCGTAGCAAAAAATCTGGTCGGGTTCCGTGGATCCTGCGGGAGAGCCGCGGGAATGCAGGCCTCTAATTCAAGGTATCATTCACTAATAATATTTTCATTAAAATATAGAATATCAAAGTTTTGAATATCCAGATTAAATGATAACACAAAACTTGCCTGTTGTACTGGCCCTCGAACTAAGAAATCATACATAAAGATCTTCCAAATAAGATGTTTCCATCCGCTTCCTTTCCAGTTTAGGGCATTATTGCCTGCATGGCTCTGACTTTATCTGCACATGTCCTTCAGCCAGTCCAGCCAATGACAGGAATGCATTGCCCAGTCCAGCCAATGACAGGGATGCATTACTTAAATATGTTGGCAACTAAATATGTAGGCAAACTAGAGGCATTTTGAATGCTCAACAGTCCACGAGTTAACATTTTCATCTAGTCTTGTGAACAAAAACAAATAAACACATACTTTATCATCTAAGATCTAATTTTAACTCGTCAGCCTCTCGTCTTTGTCATGGAAAAAAAGGTCATTGACAGACATTTTTCGTCATAGTTTTTGTTAATGCAATTACCACTGGTACTAATAGATATCCTGTTCCATGAGATCGAAGCAAGTAAGGAGGGTGATAAGAGACCAGTAGATCTCTAAGTTATTCTGGTGCAAGGCCATTCAGTGATTTAAAAGATAATAGCAGTATTTTGTAGTCAATCCGAGACTTAACTAGAATCCAATGAAGGAAGCATAGAACAGGGCTAATATGATAAAATTTTTTAGTGTTTGTAAGAACTCTGGCTGCTGCATTTTGTACTGGCTTTTTCAGGGGTTGGGCTAGGCCCCTTTCAGTGAAGGGAACTCTTAATACTTCAGCATACCAAGATGTTTTGAACAATTCTATGCTAAACAACTCTTTGGGAACAGTTTGGGGAAGGCCCTTTTCTGTTCCAGCATGACTGTGCTCCAGTGTACACAGCAAAATTCATAAAGAGATGGTTGGGTGAGTTTGGTGTGGAAGAACTTGAGTGGCCCACACAGAGCCCTGACCCTAACCCCATCAAACACCTTTGGGGTGAACTAGAATGGAGATTGTGAGCCAGGCCTTCATGTCCAACATCAGTGCCTGACCTCACAAATGCTCTTCTTGATGAATGGGCAAAAATTTCCACAGAGACTCTCCAAAATCTTGTGGAAAGCCTTCCCAGAAGAGTGGTAGCTGTTAAAGCTCAATGGGGGGAATTTCCTGCAAGTGTAAATGGCCAGCTGTTCATTTAGTCCATATAGTGTATGTTTAAGTTACGTAATTTATAGCTTGGATTTAATGATCGCTACAATACAAATAGACACTGCTATTACAGTTTTAAGATCGAATAACACAAAACTAGATATTTTTTTTTCTAAATCTTTCACAAAATAGACAGTATAAGATATATGTTCATATCTTCAGTTGTTTTGTATCGTCAGTTGTTTTACTGATTAATTACAACAGAGAAAACATATTTTAGACAATAATTTTCATCAGACTAATTTTAAAAATCCAGTCAATTTAACATCTAGTCCATTAAGAATATAATGGTTACCAATCCTGGTCAAGTAGTTTCATTGGGGACCACTGACATAGTGTATGTAGTGAATGCATGAAGTGTATGTTTGAGTACGAAAATAGGGGATGAACTGGAATTCAGACGGGAGCGTTTCACAGTTTGTAAAAACATGCGACAAATGCAGTGTTGGTCAGCTGAAGTACAGCTGAAGTAGCTGGAGCATAAATACATGCACTGTGGCTTAGGATTGCAAAAACACAATACTTTGAACCTATTTTATACTGATTTTAAACTTTTATTTTACAATTAATTGAAAGGGTTGTCTTTTAACTGTCCAGTCATGTAGCCTAATTGATTCCTCTGCTCTGCGTATTGACAACGCAGATGTCACGTTAATCCTGCATCATTGTAATAATATACTTGTTATATACCTATATATTTCTATTTACTATTGAGTTACATAGGTCTTATATAATTATAAGAATAATTCATATCCATTTTGAATTGCAACATTTTTTTTCCTAAATATATGATACCTGTTATAAAATTGTCTTTTGATACGTTCGGCTTTTTAAAAACTGCAAGTTTGCATTTGGCCATATAGGCTACGTTCACACTGCCAGCCACATTGTTCAATTCCGATTTTTTGCTCAGATCGGATTTGTCTATCTTGACGGTTCACATTCATAAGTACAAGTGACCTGTATCTGACTGTAATGTGAACGCATCGGTCCTCCGAAACGTCACGCACGCACACATTGATACATTTTTACACGAGTAAAAAGCTGGTCGTATATTTGTCACATTGTGCGGCCGTGACCGCTGCGCTGATTCGAGTCTTTTGCCTCCTTAAACTTTGACTTCAGCCTCTTTATTTTTCTTTTATTGTAGCCACGTTCGTTTGTGTCCGCGCTGCGCCATTTCTTTGGCAATTATTTCAATTACTACTCTATTACGATAGGTTCCTTCCAGTTTAGCTTGAACAGATTCATTTCCCCAAATATCAATTAAATCCCCAACTTCTCCATCCTTCCACTGACTTATCGCAGCTCTCCTCCATTTTTACCTTCCCGCGCTGCCGGTGCAGGCTGATGATGTCAGTGCATGCGTATAAGCAAAAAGCCACATGAATTCTGATCTGATCTGGTCACATGGCCACGAATCGGATACGTATCAGATTTAGTACCACATATGAAAGTGACACAAAACTTTGAAAAGATCAGATTTGCGTGTCCACACAGCCCTAAAAAGATCAGATCTGTGTCACATTAAGGCAAAAAATCCGTTTTGAGTCACTTCAGCATGGCAGTGTACTTATACGTATAGTATGATGGGTGGTGTGATATGAACATGTAAAATAATACATATATAGTTAAATTTTGCTTTATTGTGCATCTCACTGAATTATAAAGTGCAGGTTTTCAAATACAAAGTTTACAGCCTGTGACCAAAATGGGAATAAGTATGCTCAAAAATGCACGTTTCTGTGTTATCCTTATATATAATAATTTCCTTCAGTCATATTTATACCCAGACAGAAAATGTTTGTAAATATTAAACAGAAAGTCAAATTGTTTGAAAGGTTCATTAATACATTTTTTCAAAGCTTTCTGTTTTTGAGGTACACATAGACGTTTGAATTGCTTGATATCATACAGTATGTAAATAAAGTTTGTGATGTATGTGAATGCTCTGCAGGGCAGGTGATAAGACTCAGCTTTTTTCTGACCTGACTGGCTTCCCTGTTATATTGGAGAGGAAGCAAGAGATCCAGTCTGTTCTGTCTGAAATACTAGAACACAAGCGAGAAGTTCGGCTGGTACTGAAGAACCCTTCCCTGGATTACGTGACAGTGTCTGGTCAGGAGGTAAGAGGCTGGAATAACATGGTATAAACACTGTGTGATGGAAGGTGTAAGTCACCAGATAGACAGATCACCCCAAAATTGAAACATGGCTGCATAGTGATAGCAAAGAAAAAGGCAGTTTTGACAGTTGATACTGTTAGCATGATAACGCAAAAATTCTTTAGAAGATAATTTTGAAACTTTGTATACATATTGTATGGGTCAACATACAATTTGAGACAAATCGCCCTAAAATTGAAGCGAAGTACCTGTAACAGCAAAGGGAAGGGTGACTGCAGACAGTATTTGACACTTGTGAATGTGATGAGTTAAAAAGTAAGATTGCATTACTACTTCACAAAAACAATGCATGGATGAAGTTCTGCACCTGATTTGAATCTGAGACAAATTACCCCAAAAGTGAAACAGCAGTGCTATGTGGCAGCAAAGGAATGAAAGGGAAGCCAAGAAGACACTTGTTATTGTGAATAAAGTAACTCTAAAAGTATTTGATTAAACTTCTTCAAACTTTGCAGACATATTGTATGGATGCCAAACTGGAAGTAAATGTGAGACAAATCACACCAAATCTAAAGCAGCACCTTTACTGCGATAACTCAAAACGTATTTGACAGATGTTTTTAAACTTTTGTAGACATGATTTTAGGGTAAAGAACTAGACCTTTTCAAATTTGGTGAGAAATAGCACCGAATTTGAAGTAATGCCGCTTAGTGGAAGTAAGTGGAAGCTTGATTGCACAAGACGCTTAACCTTGTGATAACTCTGATCTTATTAAGATATTTGCTTTATTTAATCTTTGATGGATTTTATTACCACTTCACAAAAACCTGAAATGCCTGTGGGACAGATTTCTTGCCAGTGAACTGTACATTCAAAAACAGTCTAGGTAGCTGTAGCATTTGGTCTCAGAAGGAAATCATGATGGAGTCTGTATGTGTCTGTGTGACATTACATGGTAGTTAGTTATACCATTGCTGTGTCTGGTACAGTTCTTACTGGTATGTCACAGAAAATGCTGGGTGTAGTGCAAATGAGAAAGTAATAAATTATTAATATTTAGACATATAAAGAATGTAAATGGCAAATATATAAAACATTTTAAGACAGGGACATTCCAGAGGCATACGCAAAGAAATGCAGTAAAGCACCTAATCGGTGGGGAACGCTTGTGCAGTTGATCCATCCAGTCTGAGTCTAGAAGTGATAGAGGTTGTGGGTGTGCAAAGGTGTGCAGTTCACCATCAGGGCTTTTGGATGAGCTCTCTGAGTCAGTCATAATCATTTTCATCCTTGGCGTCGAACTCACTCAAAGATAGTTTGGTACAGAGAATTAGCAAAAATGACTGAGGAGGGAAAAGTGAACATGAACTGGGCGCCAAAAGACATCCACCCTTCACTGTGTTTAAATGTTTAAAATTTCATAGATATTATTGAGCAAAAGCATGTCGTGTGTTGGCACAATGTATTCGATAGATTCTATTGGTAGATAAGTTCATTTTGGCTAATGTATTTAGGGTAATTTTTTGTGTAAATATCACTGTATTTCTCACAAAAAAATTCATGTTGCAATATCTGAAATTTTTCCAGTTTTATGCAGCCTTAGGCTTTGACAACATCTGTACATTTTATTGGTCCAAACTACGTACTGCTAAAGTTAGAAATGAAATACTCAAAACATATCTGCAAAGGTACCTGCTTCAGAGATTTTTAAGAATGCCCTGTTTACTGTGTTAGTTCTGCTTTGTCTTGACAGTAACAATGTATAGGGAATGGTAGTGATTGTTTAATTATAATTACAATGACGATTGAGCAGACAGAGTTATTTTTTGAGGGCTAAAATCCTGCAGTCAGAGATACATCAGCTGTCGTGCAGCTGAGAATTTCTTTTTATATTCATTGTGCTGCAGATCATACACACAAACCAAGGTCATTTTTATAAGCCCCCCAAATTTAGAATTCTTGGAAATAGCTAAGCTACATCACCATAAAACAAACCTTTTTTATTGGTCAAGTTTGGGATAAATGTGGCATAACGTGAGTTTTTTTGTTTTATTTATCTTTTTATTTGAAATTATTCATCAGTTTGTGATAATTGTAGAGACTGAATTATTGTCATGTAGACTGGGTTACTGTATAACAGATAATAGCTTAGATATTTAATCAGTGAGCTTGCTTAACACAAATCACATGTGGTCTGGCATTTGTAAAGGTTTTGTTTGGCAGGCAATGGCCTCTGACCGACACCGTAAAACACAGATGGTCAGTTTGTAGCAGGTGGGTGAATCACAGAGCTCTGGTGTTCTGATTTATACTCCTTTATTACACAGAATTGTGGTGTGTTTTAATCAGAACACCTCTGTCCCTGTTCTCACCTCCCTGATTTAATAGTCCTTCTAAGCATTGCTGTTTATTCTCTGTGTGGTAAGTGTATTAGCGGGAGACATAAATACACACTGTGGCCGGGTTGTATTCATATTGTCAGCACATTTATCTAAGTCGAGTAATAAATATAATGTGAAATGTTTGAACTGATTGCCAAACAGAAATGTGTAGCTTCAAAAAGCACTGTCCCATTCAAATGAATAAGTCTGAAATGTTTTTACTTACCACAAAATCCGAAGATGTGTGAATGTGGAATGTGCATTACTTGCAGGGAGGTCTGCTGGTGCTGAACTGATTGTGGTGTCTTCCTACAGTTTCTCATTGAGGTGAAGAACTCTGTGGTATCTGCAGTTCCACAAGACTGGGTGAAAGTCAGCAGGTTTGTAGATCTGAAAACCCTTTATCTTATTATGGGTGATTGGCAGCTCTAGTAACGTGTCCTTAATATGCATGTCATTTATTTTAAAATTGCCTCACGTCCTGCATATTTCAGAATTAAACCACGGTTGGCAAGGGTGATGGAATTTTTGGATAGTGGAAAACACAGGCACACCAGATATATATGTAATATAATTTCTATTTATTATTAATCTATTCTTAAGACAATGCAAATGTACAGCGTCTTGGCATTTGGGTAACTTGCCCACAGTTACTGCCACAACAAGCTATCAGTGGCGTCACAGTTTAATATAGTTCTCACTCGACACTTTTCTTTTAAACAGTATGCTTTACTTGCGATTTCTTCGGTTTTCCATGCATTTATCCTTCAAGGTTATGAGGGAAAATTGCAACGTTGTAGTGTTATGCTCAAAAGCTTGTACTCTTGTTAGCATGTCCTACCTATATGGTTCCTTTGCACATTGCAGGAACAATTTCATACTTCCTACTTGATTGACCAAACTAATTGGTAGGGGGTATTTATTAGGTATTATGCATACTGAGGTATTTTCCTATCAGGTGCTTAAGTTAAAAAAGCCCTCAAAAAGTTACCTGCTTTAAAGTGATGTGTGCCCCCCCCCCCCCATCAGTGCAGCTATGCCTACCTCACTTAACCGGGAAAAGACACGGCCATGCAAGAAGTTTAATGAATTCACCAACATGAGAATGTTTGGACAAAAATGAAATGTTACAGTGAAATACAGTGTATGAATTTTGTGCAAAGCAATTCACTACTTTAAATATTTAGGTATATAGTGTTTCGTATGAAGTATGTGTATGTGTACGAAAATACGGTACCTGTCCCATATTGGTTCAGTGTTTCACGATCCACCAGAAAACATGTGATGCATTCCGTGTCAGTCAGTTTAAGGACATCAAAACAAGGGTAACTTTGTCCCAGTTTTGCAGGAGTTCAGGTACATGCACTGGGGCTTAAGATTGCAAGGACACACTACTTTCTTTGAACTTTTTTTAAACTAATTTTAATAGAAAGAATAATTTTTTTAATGAACTATATTTTTTAGTCTAATTGATTCACCTGAGGTTTTACTTGTTCACTTGCATTTTGGATTGAAGCATTTACATTTAAATGTATAGGCCTAATCTAAAAATTTTCAGTTTGTTACATGTTCACCTTTCTGAACACTGCAATATTGCCTTTGACCATGTATAGGCGCATGACTTAATACAACCTCCCAGAACATGTACTTAAAAATACAATTAAAAGCACTGAAGTCAGTAGCAGAATCCATGTAAGGGTCATTTACATGCAACATACCAATATTTCAGTGTTTCTTAACCTAAAGTATGTATCTAACCTAAGTGTGTTAGCATGTTGACTTAAGCATGCCCAGATTTAAGTTGATAGGAGAATAGATACGCAAAATTGTTTTTTTTTGTGCATGGGAGAATCGACTCCATTGCGATTACCGTACTATGTAGAACAGTAGAATGTATACAGTACTGTGCAAAAGTCTTAGGCAGTTCAAAGAAATGTTTAAAGCTGTTTATCTGGGTAGCAAGTGTACTTTGGCTTAGAACAAAAAACACAATTTAACATTAGAACACGTGCAAATTAAGAGTAACACAATAAAAACTAGCAATAATTTCTTCTGTTTTCTAAAAAGTTACTGATATCTAGTTGGATGGCTAGATGAACACCGCTTCAGTTCCCAAACTTCTCCTCAGGGGCACCTCAGCCGTTCTATGATTTTGTTAAATTTCACCAACAGCTCAATTAAATAATTAAATAAATTGGTTTAAAAAGTCAGTGACAGATTGAGTAGCTGTATGAGGTGAGCTAGTGGCCAAGTCAAAAAATACATAACTGCACTGGACGGTCGCTGCAAATACTGGGGTGATTTTAGCAGAGGTTCTGAAATGGCTAAGCTGACACACTTTGACAAGCATAATATCATAGTTTTTCACCAACACGAGGATAATCTAAACATTTTCTTTGCCTGCCTAAGACTTTTGCATAGTACCTTATGTAACAGAATAATCAAGTATTCTCTGATTCTTGATTGCATAGTGTATTGTCCATTCTTTTTATGTTGTTTTAAGGCCATCGTTATTGGGAGGAAATCAGGGAGAGCAGAATCGAAATGGAGATGTGAGAGGAGGCAGTTACTGCGGTTACTGTGTTCTTCCCCAAAGGTGGCCTGTATATTTATTTTCTCTCACCTTGGCTTAGCACAAAGGCTGTGTCCCGCTTCCATACGCCATTTATCATCGAGAGACACCGGCAAATTCTGCAGCTACAGGAGCAGCTGGTAATTGACTGCAGCCAAGAGTGGATCAATTTCCTTCAGTAGGTATCCTTCAAACCACTTGGAAAATCATGAAGGTGTTTTTTTTTGCCAAGTAGTTGTTTCTTTTTTTCCTGACCTGTTGCTGCATCTCTTCAGAGAATTCAAATAAAATGTGTCAGTTGCGAATTGTTTTCTGTGCTCTACTAAGACAAATGAATAATTAGGACTGTGCACTGATTTTTGTGGTGTTTATTTTTACTGACAGTCAGTTTGGAGAACACTATCACATCATGAAGAAAGCTGTTCATCACCTTGCAACGGTGGACTGCTTCTTCTCATTAGCTGATGTTGCTAAACAGGGCAATTACTGCAGGTAAGATAATGTCGCCTTTGATTGGTTTGTGCAAATGGTTGGTTAGTTGGGAGATTTTCTCACTTGGTCACAGAAATATTCCAGTGTTTTTCTTTTTAAATCCTTCAAAAAAAACCTATACCAGTCGGTGGTTTTGGTTAGAAAACAAAATGATCTTTCTGCTATTTTTAATGGAACTTTTTAAAAATTATTATTATTTAGTTTGGTAATGGGTGTTTCATCTAATATCTATTTATATTTGGTGTTATGGCTGTGCAGTAGGGGTGCAACGGTACAGGTATCCCACGGTACGGTATGTACCTCGGTATTTGGGCAACGGTTTCGGTTCGGTTTAAATACAACACTACAAATAACACAAGAAAACAAATTATAAACTGCCTCTTATTTATGTATAAAATATCTATACATGTATAAAATTCAAACTTACAAAATGTAAACAAAAACACTTTAAAAAATGTTAAAGTGCCTCTTAAAGTGCTCTAAACACTCTATATTCCACTCGAGGCTCTGTGCTTGAGCCAAATCGTTTTCGATGGCTTTGCGCGCCTTGTCATAGAGGTCGGGAATTATAACGTCGCTGAAATGTGTACGGCAGGGCACAACATAACGTGGGTCAAGCGTTTTAATTAAGTGGCAAAACCCCGCATCTTCGACAACAGAAAAGGGTTGCAAATCTTTAGCAATGAACGTTCCCACTGCACGTTATTTTCTTCTGTTTATCGGATGTTGCAGGGTATGTCTGTTGAAAAGCTTTTTCGATAGACACTTGTTTACCTGCAGTTACCTTTTCGTCTGTCCTCCGTTCAGGAACCGTTATATCAGCATGACTACGCTTGAGATGCTTAGCCATATTGCTCGTGTTTCCATTAGCGTATGGGACACGTGTTAGGCAATGTTTACAAACAGTGGCATTTCTATTAACTGTTTTGACTCCCTGGTCGTTGTATTCTACAGCGAACCCGAAAAAAATCCATACTGGACATTTGTACGAAGCCGGTGCTTCTTCAAACTTCTGCCTTTCAACTGTTCCGCTAGTGCTGGCCATGCTTGTTTGTTTTTCTTTTTTTCTGCGTCTGCTTACCGAGCTGCGGGCTCAGCTCCAGTTACGTCAGTGTGAGAGAGCGAGTGGGTGGAGCCACAACAGTGATTGGACATTAACTCACGGTGGAGGGCTTTCGCTCATTGGCGCTTACTGTTTAACTGGAACCTGATAAGCATTAATCGGCATTTTCAAAAGGAAGTGCAAAAACGAAATACCGCGATACACAAGGGCGTACCGGACCGTGCAGCGCGTACCGAACGGTCCGGTATTTTACCGAGTACCGTTGCATCCCTACTGTGCAGTATGTGTGTCTCCCTCAGCAGGAAGTATAAACCAAGGTCTCACCAGGGCAATCTAGTCCCAAGCACATGGAGCTAAACCTAAAGCCTAAAACACATGCTCTATGTTAAATTACACGTATTCTATCAGTGATATTTTTCTAAAATGGAGCCTGTTACTAAAAATAATAAGAGCATTTAAAATTAAAAATGTGTAACATATGTGGCATTGGAGTATAGGTGGATTATTTTCTGATTTTTTTCAGTGATTATTGTGAGGTCGAGTCTCCCTAAAATAATAATTAAAAAAACCTCTGTATGTACCAAAAGCCATTCTTTTTTAGCAATATAGATTTTATAACTTCATTAAAAAAAAAAAATAATTTCACCTTATTGGAGTTTTGATGGGGTGGTAGAGGTGACGAGAGAACATAGCTCAATCTGTTTTTCCTTTGAGAGCTTGGTAATGAGAGGAGGGCAGGGTTATAAGTCTACAATTTCATTACACGATGACCGCTAGGGATGTAGTGTCTTTCCATGTGTTGCTGTTTTAGTTTGCACTGGATCAGGACAGGACTTGTTGCTATAAAAATACAAAAATACTCCACCAGTAAAGTATAACATGTTTTTAATTAGATTTTAAACCTTAAAGGAAATTAACTGTTTTAAACAATGTTGGTTATTCCAAGGATATTATGGGCTCTTGTGATGCCTATTGTAGTATTTTGTATTTAACTCTCCAAATGATTAGTAATGATACCAGCCCTGAGTACACTTAAGATTCCTATTTTTAAGTAATATGCACTCATGTAAATAGTTTAATTCAGGGAAGTTTACCATTCTTAAATGTTTGTACTGGTTTGCTAGGGGTGAGTCTAAATATCGTGTGGAAGTGTGTTTTTATTCTCGATTTATCCTTTGTTACTTTTGCATTATTGCATCATAGTTGTGTTGTTAGTTACAGAGCTAGATAAGATTTTGACAACTCTGAGCTATTAGTTAAGTTCTCCCCAAACGAGCTTGATGGCCGAATGGCCTCCTCACGTTTGTATATTTCTTATGTTCTTATGTTCTTATTCATTTGGGGCAAAAATTGATATATTTTTCAAAAGAAGCAAATCAAAGGCATATTTATTTGTTTACAATAATGTTAACTATGCCACCCTACATACAGCGATTAAACACTGTATTTCTGATCTATCAGATAAGATACAGGGTTCTTTCACCATTGCCCAAAATACTGTCAGAATAAAATTAGCCAGACATAGTTTAGGATCAAATAAATCCCTGAGTCCTATACAATTTATCTAATTTATTTCATAGCATGTGCTGTTTCCTATTCATTGTGTATTGTGCAAATCTGGAAACAGTACAAGCTAGAGAAAAATTGGGTTCAGCCAAATGTGAAGTTTTCAGAGTAGAATACTTTGCTTTACTGCCTTGCTATCATGAAGGTTTCCTGTAGAGAACAAGATAGGTAACAATCGGACAGCTCAGTGGTAAGTTAAAAAAAAAAAACAAGAACAATATTGACAGAGCATGGAAAATATTTAGAGAATATCAAGTCCTGACGTTAAGGTACATGCAAGTGACTCTTCCCCATGAAACTGCATTTGATGGATTTTCTTGGGTCATTTTTACTCATGGCTGTAATGGAGGATTTGTGTCCAGTTTGCTACTTGTTTCAGATCTGAAAGTTAAAACATAAAAGATTTCTGATGAGTTAAATAGCATGAAAATGCACTTAAGAACCACGTTTTGCATCTGGTCTTCATAGGCCTGTCTTTTAAGCTGTAGTAGAATCCAGCTAATTATGTAACGGGACATTTGTTGTGGAGGAGTTGATTTGACCCATTGGCTGATGTTTATGCCAACAACCCACCCTTGGTCACCCCTGCTGCCTTTTAAAAATCTGAAAATTATGGAAGAAAACATTAAATTCTTATTTCCATTAGTGGTAAAGGCTTTTTTTCTGTTCGTGTAGGAGATTACTTTGTTACATTTGGTTGACAATGGTTCTTACAAGGTTTCTGCAGCCTGTAATACCTGCTTCTAGCCCTTTTGTTCTTCATATATTAATAATAAGTGTTGACTGTTTGGCTATAGTTTGTTTTTGGTAAGTTTTTAACTCATTTTTTTTTTGTTAGCATTTGTTATATTAAACAATATTTTAATTGGGAAGTTTTCAATTGTAATTTCTTTGGTAAAATAATCAATTAAAAACATTCACTCATCTACAAATTGCTTCCAAATTGCAAATTCCAATTGCAAAGTGCATCTTTATAATTCAGTCACCGGAATTCAGATAATTTACTTTCGCCTTTAACTATATTTCAAGAGAACAAAGTCAGTCAGAACATTCAGTGTGTTTTATGTGGATCTTCATAACTGAAGAGGTGTAATAATCTGTCCTGTTGTTTTCGCTTTACAAATATGCTGCTACAATTTCAGTAGTTTAAAATATGGTCCGAAATTCAACCTTCTACATCTGGGACAAGCAGGATGAGTGATTGAGTGCGCACTGCGGACATGACTGTCCCAAACCACTGAAATCGTAGCAGTGTTTTTGTAAAGCAAAAATAATAGGACTGAATATTACACCTCTTGAAATTTGAGACCAAAGTAAAGGAACTGAATTCAGGAGACTGAATTATAAAGATACACTTTGAAAATTGTATATTTTGAAATTGAGTAGTGGAAGCTGAATATTTTTCTATTGATTATTTTACCAGTGAAATTACAAATGAAATATTTTCAGTTGAAATAGTCATTGTTTAAATGCACATTAACATTAAATTACAGCACCCAAATTCAAGCATTATTAAATGCAATGAGTTTTAATTTGATTAGTGTAATTCAATGGGGTTTTTTTGCATCAACGACTTTTGTGATTAATTTACTTCTTTTAACATGTACGGTACTTCTATTTCAGCGGTATTTGTATTCTGAAGTGCGTCCACACAGCTGAAGCTTTCGCTCTTTTTATTTTTCATCTGTTATGGTCCATGTTCCTTCTGCCATGGTTAAGTAATTGAGAGGGCAAATATTTATGTCTGACTTTCGGACAACTCAAATTTACAAGCTGCCACAAAAGCATATTATATTCACTCGAGGGATAGTACAGTACTGTATGTAGTTATTTTTATTATTACTGTATTGCTGTACTGTATCATTATTATGTACTGTGTTCTTAGGGAATGGATCTTGTGTGTAACCTAGGGAATGCCTGTAAACAAAATTAATTGAGTAATCGTGAAAGCTCTATTTTAAAATATCAACAGAAAGTTGCCTGGCAGTTCAGAATTCATTCAAGGGTTCATTGTCTAGTCAGGTGGTAGATTTTCTTTGAACATTCATTGAACACACGGTCTGTTCTTTTCTGTTGTAGGCCACTGGTTCTTGAAGAGGACAGGCAGATTGTAATAAAGGAGGGGAGGCACCCTGTCATTGATGTGCTGATAGGTGAGCACAACCAGTATGTGCCCAATGACACACATCTACAGGTGAGATCATACAAAGACACGCCCCTTTTTCCATTGTAGGTTTTACAGTTTGGTGCTTTGAGTTGCAGTAAAAGGTTTTTCGGATATAATGTATATATTAGTTAATGTATCCTGGTGCTGTTTTGTTACTAAGGAACATCTGGTAAAGTAGGGGTTCATTATAGGGCTGACAATCCGTAATATGTGATTATTACAAATATTATAAAAAAATATTGGGATAATATTGAATCCTTTAAAGATTAGGTGTGCATACTGAAAAAGCTAGATCATCGTTCCCCTTTAGTCGACCTTCAGTCTGGTTAGGATCACAGGCCCCCTGCAATTTGGAAAAACTGCATAACATTTTTTGGTTCCCTTGGTGAGCGAAATGAAAAGAAATTCGAGCTGCAAAGACCACTGCGAGATATTACATGAGAGGCTGTTGTAAACACGCTTGGCGTCCTCCAAACCAGCACTGTACATATTCTTTATGCATTTATGAGTCAATAAACTTTTTATATGTCTGCTGGCCTTTGCATGTCGTCTGCGGCTTTCGCGAAACTCGAATTCCCATCTCGTTTCTTATGCCAACCCCGCAATACCGCAATGGGGAAAGTCGCGATGCAGAAGGGTCGACTGTAATCTGTCGCAGTTTAATACCATATACTGAACAGCACAATTCAACGCTGTGCATTAAAAAGTGGTATTGGTAGTGACCTCTGGATATGCGTTAATATGTCCAATTTTTTTAATTCACAGTCCCTTCATAAAATGAATCTAGGGCAGCTTTGTGGCAAACCTGATTTTAAACATTTCTTTCCATAGTACTGTGAGCCACCCTCATGTCCAATATTTACATACACTAATACCTTCGCATACCATAAAACAAATTCAAAAATAATCCCATTGTGGTTTATTTCTTCGGAGGCTAGTAGGCTGAACTGAAAGCCAAGTCATAAATCTTTTTCTTTGCTTTGTGTATAGCTTAAGCCTACTTCCTTGACAAAGGCAAGGTTGGTCCTTGTCACAAATTGACACTGGGTTACTTATCTGATATTGTTGATTACTGATAGTTTCATTACATTGCATAGCCCTAGTTCATAAACCCCAGGCTGCATAACACTGGGGGGGGGGGAAGCTAGTTAACTTCCAAAAAATTAAGTATTTATGATTTTTTACCACCTCTCTTTTCCTTCTTCTCTGAATTCTCTCCTTTTAAAAATATTTTTGGCCACAGAAATATTGCTGACTGGATGCTTTTTGTTTATCACATTGCTCTCTGGAAACTCTAGATGGTGTAGTGTAGTGCATAAAAATATCTGGAGGGTGAACGTTTCTGACATTGTGTAACCACCATGATTGGCACAGACAATCAGGCCATCTTCAGGATCACAAAGATAAGGCCTGTAATTAAGAAGCATTGATAAGATGATCCATCGTAATGTGGTGAGAGCATACTCACACCCAGTTACCTTGTGCTGTGCTCAGGCGTGATCCTCCCCAATTCCCCCACTGCTCTACACTTACATTGCACTTTTAATGAGCCTGTCCTGGGCAGGCTTTCCTCACCACCGTGCAACGTTTTTGTGTTCAAGGAAAAATAGGAAGGAAAGGGTTTTTGTACACCAGCATGGAATTCATGATTAATGTCCTAATTTTGTGGCTTATTTGGAGTCGTTTGGGGCATGATGACAAGTATAGATTTATCAAGTATGCAATGCAGCGATTTTTATTTATTGGTGCTGCACACATAAATATCTTAGAATTTAGTTCCGCAGACTAGTGTTGCATGGAATATGGGTACTGAAAAGGTACCATGGTACCACATTTTTGAAAGGTGTTTGTTATCATATTTCTTTAGTACCAGTATTAATTACACTGTTACAGACATTGCTAACACTAATGTCTCTAATGGTAAACGTCGAATCAGAACCATAGGCTCTTTTTTGACGATGTAATGCAAAACTTAAAGCGCAAAGCGGAACTAACAGTTATGGGCGTGTCCAAATCCATTTAGCTATTTTAATGCCGGAAAAACCAGAGTTTGTGCCAGCGCAAGGCGGGAAAGGGGTTGTGATAACTCCCTTAATTATTCAGAGCCGTGTTTTGGGTGTAACAAGCAGTTACTCAATCTGAATGGCGGTTCCACAATGTCACCTGTTTTTTTCTTTCAGACAGCGAAACAAACATGAAGTAAAACACAGACAGTTTTTGTAGGGATGAAATGGAAACCGACGACGGTTTTAATAAACCAAAATCTAGCCCATCGGGCCTAGCAAGGGACAACGGAGCGAGGGAAATGCTGCTCCGTCCTTCTGGGGTATCCCTGACCCGTGCGGCGCGTCCTTAAGCTGGCTCACCAGTGCCCCATTCTGCCACTGCGGCTGGGAACGGGGACATAATTATGTTTGTGTGTTTTTTGTTTTATTTTAATTCTGCGTCTGCAGTGTGTGGTGAGCTTAGTTGTACCAGTGACATTCTTGTAACTAAAACTGAAACGAAAACGGACACTAAAAAACGAAAATTATTTTTGAACTAAAATACATTTTAATCAGCTAAAAGCAGCCCCACACCACCAACAACTTTTTACCGTGTTTACCCACAATATCTCCTTGCATCTGTAATTATAGGTTAGTGAAGTTTTATTTGTAGTCGCGATATGCCCTTCCCGGCATGCCTTACAAGCGCTCATGTATATATCTCTGTGTCTGTGTAACGTAAATAGCTCTTGTATGATTATTGTCGTTGTTGTTATGGTTATAGTTGTGTGTATCGTGGCGTGTATGTTTGTTCGTACCTTGCAGGTATTCTGTCCGATCCTCGCGTGTTCTTAGCTTGTATAACTCTTCCACCATGTGTTCACCTTACAGTTCCCGTTCGGCCTGTTAAGGACTATAATACAGTACATTCCGTTCTGACAAGCAGGTTTCCTTGTCCTTTGCCGCTCGCGATTCCTTGGTCCGCCCTACATTATGTTCTGCTGTGATTTAAGCAGTTTGATAATGCGCTACACAACAAAGTTTTTTTTTTTTGAATAGTATTTGACATAGACTGCCCACAGCCCCCTCAAGGATGCTCATTGGCCACACTGCTTATATATAGCCAGCGTGTACGACTCTGCCGGTTATGGGAGGCGTATTCCTCAGTGTCCTTCTGTATTGTGACATACTCCTGGTGTTCAGTACCTGTCAATGTGCTGCAGTGGTAGGCAACTGGTTGATGGCAATATATGACACTTCCAGTCGATTGCTATACAACTTCCAATATAATCCCCCACACTTCCTAACCCGGTTAGCAAAAATAGGGGGGGTTCCTGCAGTTGGCAAAATATACTGAGGGAGGCCCCTTACCCCGATCGACAAAATATGATATTGCTTTTTTGGTAGCTTGACAGCATATTTTCTTTGTGAAAGTAGCTCTCACTGTTAAAATAGTTGGAGACCACTGATGTACTGTATTGTTAACAAAAAAGTTGCTTGCTGCCAGGCCATTAAATGTCTTGTAACTTTCACTTCATCTGTCTAAGACCCCATGAGAGGGATAGTGAGAAGTATGACTTTCATTAGCACCCTATCTGTCATTTCTCCTTGATGAAATGCCTTATAAAGCTCAACATAATGTTCATGGCCTGTTATTTCATTGCAATGACTTATTAGTTTTCTTCATAGAAGTCAATAGAAATATTTTATTCCCGTCATAAATAATGGTTCTATCTTGTTTTCAGAAACACACTAAATCTATATATCACAATTTAAAAATCTTTTCTGTAAACAGAGTCATTATGGTTATGTTGTTGTTGTTACAGTTTAATGAACGAAATGTTTATTCATGCTTTTCGATGATTTAGATTTAATGATATTGCAGATAATAACAGAATAACGTAGTGTTTCACAATCCCAGGAAGGTGGTTGTTTCTGAGGTGCTGAAACTGCCATGTCTGGCACCAATCATCTAATATTTAAAATGACATATATCATGACTCTTAAGATCTAATTCTCAGTTGAACAGTATGTAAACTTTTTGACCTTGTCTGCATGCTGATGATATTCGGTTTCCCCCACATAATTTGTTAATAATCAAGAATACCTAATAATGTATGTGTAAATGTATGTATGTATATATAAATACACAGAGTTAAATGCTGATATTAAATGATGGATATTGCGTTTTATCAGGATACTGTATTTGGATTTAAGGAATTCATCTCTGTGTCTTTTTCACAGGGAAATGGCAGGCGGGTCATGATCATCACTGGGCCAAATATGGGGGGAAAGAGCTCTTACATCCGGCAGGTGGCCCTCATCGCAGTCATGGCCCAGTTAGGTTCCTTTGTGCCAGCGCAAGAAGCCACAGTCAGTGTTCTGGATGGCATCTATACCAGGTACTACAGAATTACCCATAATGTATGGGTTTAGCACTGGTCCGCTACTGCAGACGCTTCCTCATGAGCATGATAACAAAAACAACAAAGTCTTTTTCAGATTTTGCAGACAGACTATATGCTTGAAAATCTGGAAGCGATCAAATTTTGAGTAAAGGGCAAGTGCAAAAGACATTTGACTTTGTGAACGTGATGATCTATGATGGATCTTACTAACACTTTGCATAAACATTGTATGTATAAAATCTGATTTAATTTTTAGAGAAATCGCTCCAAAATTTAAGCAGTAGTGCTTGTAGCAGGTGAAGGAAAGGTCGGTTGGATCTCGTGAGTGCAGTGGTTGTACTCAAAGTATTAGATGGATCATTTTCAGTTTGTTTGCTGGCTGCCAAAATTTATTGTGGGGAAATTAGTTGTATTGATAAGTTTGAGAACCACTGGTATTAGAGGTGCTCCATTCCATCGGCAGCCAATTTAAATCAGCTGATTTTCAGTCGTAGTTACTCGATGGATGGCCTTTAAGTTTGCCAATCTCAAATTACAATTTTGCAGATGACGTACAATATGTGCGTAGATGACTTAAAATATGTGTATGAGGTTTCAAACACAGCAGCAGCGTACTGTATTGTCACCAGCCTGGGTGCTTTACCAGATATCTGGTTAAGATGAAAGATTTTCAATTTACTATGTATGTGCTCACAGAGGATCATCTGCTAAAGCATTCAATGTTTATCTTTTTGCACTATGTACAAATGTTGACAGGGTGCTTGCGGGTTATTAAACAGTCTTAAGGCATAGATTGGAGTTGAACCAATTAAGGCTTTGAAAAGTATTAAAAAGTCTTAAATTTATATTTACTAGGTCTTCATTTTTTGAGGTCATAAACCTTTCATTTAAGTTTTAATGTGACAACACTCTTAAGGGGTATTCTAAGTCGATTTAACTGGCTTAGCTGGATTACCTGGGGTTAAACATTGAATTTTCAGTACAGTAAGTATCCTCATTAAGATTTAGGGACAACTTGTACTTACAAACGGACTGCTGTAAAGCCTGTGATATTAAAAATTTCAGTTAAATACAATGGTTTGCAATAATGAATGCACATGCTACTTTGTTACGCTCACGGAAACATTATGTGACTTCAGCGTTTGTTGTAATGTTACCTCACAAATACCCCTTCTGATATGCAAAACATCAGTGGAACGAGAGTAAGTGTTAACCTTAAATATGATCTTTTTTTCTGTCTAAACTGTTTTTTAAAATAATTTAAAAAGCACTTTTATACTTACCATATCAATACTATGTACTTTATTATTATGTTTAAGATATTTTAGTTTATTTGCAAGTGTTTGTGTTTTAGATGCATTGAAAGGTAAAATTATAGGCTATATACTAAGACAAACATTTGCCTAACCTTGATCATATCTTGGTCATATCCATATGTACATAATGCCACAGTAATTTAGCCTGTGAGCCTATCCTTTTCCAAGTAGGGGCCTGTATCGTAAAGCAGGATTTCTTGCTTAGCTCAATAACTATTCGGATTTAAAATAGTCTGGGCTAAATTTAAGAGAACAAAGAGAAAGTCCATTTAAACTGGGGTACCTGTAATATGACAAGTTATCCAGCTAAGCAACAAATCCAGCTTTTTGATACAGGCCCCTATTCTGGAGTATACCCCTTCATTCTGATAACGTTTGATATAAATAACATGAGAGCATTTTTTAGTGGAAGTTTCACAGTTGGTGCTAAAAGTAGCATGGGCTGTATGTAGCTATGTATCAGAACACACATCAGCTTAGAATCCTGTCTTTGAAGTAACAACACATGGGATAGTGTAAATTCAAATGTTCAAGGATTTGTTAAATCTGGCACTTTATATGCCCTTAATGTTAGAGAATGGAACATTAAATGTCATAATCTAAGTCCATTGTTTCTCTCTTTTGATTGAAGTTTCTTGGTAGGAGGATTTCTCATAATTGAGTCACCTATGCCTTGACTGTCACCTTGTAAAGTTTGATTTATTATTCACACATCAATTGTTGGAACTTTTTTTTTAATATGAACTTGAATGAAAAGTGGGTGCAGTTACTATCGTGTAAATGTATAGGTATTGATTCTGTCAAAGCATATTTCCGCTTGCAGTTTAGCCTTAATTTCGGCTTGAAGCGGTATTAAAAAGGTCTTTAATAGTCTTAAATTTTACATCAGGATTTCTACAGACAGGTTATTTAGTACAGCTGTGCAAATTTTGGATTAGAAGAGGAACAGACTCTCCCCAACAATTCAGAGTTGCTATATATAAGAAGTGTGGCCAAAATCTGCCTTCATTTCTTCGAAAAACACAGACCTGTAAACAAGAGCCAAATTCTGACCTTTTTATTTGAAAAATGATGAACTAGTAGACTTTCCTCTAAAAATACTGTGTTCATTTAGACATTAACACCACCCAGTCTTCATTAAATATTCAAACACTGGACCTGTACATACACAGGCTGTTATTGGTTAGCTTGATAAACAATACAATTAACGAATTTACCAGGTATATTTTATTTCATCTGGAAATGTATACATTATAGAAAATGACACATGGATACAGGTTCATAATAAAAAATATAGATACATACTTGCGAGTTATCTGTAGTCTTCAGGACAAAAGGCTGTGCTTTCAAGGCCTAAGATTTCTGCCTAGATTGGCAGACAGGTGCCACATCCCAGAACAGACCCACGCGTTAATTACTAAGCTTGATCAGTAGTGTTTTTCTCTGTGTTGGAGAAATTTACTTCCCACACATGCACACACCACTGCTAAAAGAGAGATCCGGTGAGATACTTTATAATACAGCTAGACTCAGTATGTTGTTGTAGTTTTATTAGGGGGGTTGCTGAGTAATTGCCGGGATGTCCCACCCTTTGCGTGTATGCATAATGTCAATTGTTTATTGTTCATTGCATCCTTTATTAGTTTTACTTTATGGATTTTTTTGTCTTTTGGTGAAGGTTATGTTTTGCTCGTTGTTCTGTGTCAGATTCTCCTATAGGTGTATTCTGTTAATGTCAACCACCTTCATAGTGACAAAATTGCACAATGACAGCCAGCATCCTGGTATTATGTTCTGTAAGTGGGTGTATGGATCAACAGAAAGCTTGTTTGTCTCACCATGTTCTCAGTCTGGGTGCGGAGCCATGATGCTACACAACAGTCATGGTCAAGGTCCCATTTAGGACTGTTCTGTTCCCAACACCGTGACACATCCTAAAAAGAAATATTAGGGTCAGACATGGGCACATGACAGCTAAAGCTTATGAAACAAATCTAAAATCCAGAATTTTAGTTACTGAAGACTGTGGTGTTGCATCCTTTGGAAACATATCTGTTTGTTTTCAATGTAAATGGTTTATTTCTCCTGGTTAAATCGTATATTTTGCCTTCATACCTGGTTTTATACCAGTTAGGCTTATCTTGGTAAAAAGTGGATATCACTAATTTTGAATGGTTCAGTTGCATTACAGCAAGTGTTAGGCCCATTTCAGAATAATACTGGAATTTTAATTAAGGTGGACACAAGTTACTGGAGCATTCATGATGCATTTTGTCATATATGCTGATGTTTTGTTTCAGGAAACATTTTATTTGTACTAAGATGACTCTAGAGGTGGGTGACAATAAATGTATTTTTGATTTCTTGTCAGTCCTGTAAACACTTCTGAATAGGTTGTGCCTGAGGACAGGAATATACAGTCCCTGCTCACCATAAAATGTTTGGGTTTTGGTGTTTTTTTAATAGATATTGTTCACCCATTTTTAACCCACTTAACCCCAGTTAGATTTGTTTGGAGCACCAAGGGAAAACCTGAGTGGAATCTGAGCCACAGAAAAGGAGCTGTTGAGCATATTAGCATCTAGAACGATAGGTACCTGATCAGCCACAAAAAGAGATTAAATTGAGGCGCATTGACCAAGAATAAACATTGTCTCTCAAATAATGTTTGTCTCAATTGTCTCAAATGTTAATTGCATTGTATCCCCGACTCATGTCATTTTGTGATAATGTATAAAAAAGAGAAGGTAAAGCTTAATATAATTTCCAAACTGTTAGAAAGTAAATGAAACATTTCCTACTTCAAAATGGAAATATTGATAATATGGTGTTATGTGGTCCTTTTTAAAACCTTCCTGAGCCAGAATTTCATTTCAATATTTTAAAAAGAATGAGAAGATTGCAAGATCTCTAAATAAGAATTTCCAAATATAATATAGACATTAAAAGATAAAGGAAAGCCTTCACAACAAATACTCTTAGAGAAGTCTATACAAATTTTCTCTTAGATATTACAATAATAAATATTTTCTTTATTTTAAGACTTTGTTGTGGCCAGTGTTATTTTTTTGTTACTCAACTTTTTTTTAAGACAAAGATATTTGCACAATCATGCATTTCTTATTTGTGTGCGGCTTCCATTCAGCATTTGTTGCCAGTTGAGTTGTTATTGCTGACAATTGTTTATTAAATTCCGAACAAGGTTATGCTTTTTTTCCTTCCTTCCCGTTGTCATGGAAACAGGAAATGAAGCTGAATGTAGAAATCCTACCGACACCTTGGTTGGTGTTTGGCAGAGTGCAGACATGTTCAGTAAAAACAAAAATACAAAATGAAGATGAAAATGAAAAAAGAAAGATAGCTAAATATGAATATAACAATAATATTTTGGGTCAAAGGTAAATTTCTACTTCTCCCAATTGCTGACACATATTTATTATTATTATTAATTGAGCAGATGCTTTTATCCAAAGTGATGTACATTTTTTGAGAAAGCAGGGAGCATTTGGGAGTTAAGGGCCTTGCTCATTGGCCCTGTGGTGAAATCACTCTACTGACCCATGGAGTTCAACTGGTGACCTTACAGTGACAGGTCCAGCATCCTCACCCACTGAGCTGCACACTGCTTATCCTAGTGAAGGACACACTCTCCTAGCAAACTTTTAGCCAGTATGAGGA